GATATACAGGCCTTCCCTCTCCCTGCTACAAAGCTTAACCCTTCCTGGCATCCAGTGCTCTTTGTCCTTGGATAGCCCACTCTTAATTATTTAAGAATTAAAGCACATTTTTAAATTAAGAATTAACCACAATTTTCTGTTTAAAACCATTAGTTTGGACTAAAACTGTGAAATTCCCTGCCCATGCTTCCTGCCCTCCTTCTTGTGATAGCATGTGAAACAGTCTATAACACTTGCAGAGGCTGGAAAACTTACAGATATTTATCTGAGTATAGATGACCAGGTCTAGTAGAAACATTATCACTTACCATGATCACACTTGGAAAGAAACCCAAAGTGTGTCCGAGTTCAAGTCTTCAACTTGTATGAAGCAATGGGTATCTTACTAAATCTTCCTGCTAAATGAAAATGTCTTTATATTTTTCTCTCATTTTGTAGCTGGCAGGGAAATGTTTTTTTCTGTCTTTTGGGAGTTTTTAAGATTTTTTTCAACTAATTCTCTGGCTAATCAATAAGCTGCTAAAAGAGAAAAAAATCAGATTGAGCAATTTGCTTCAGTAATTTCAAAATATTTCATTTTTTGTTTTCACTTATAAATTCAAAATTAAAACCAAAATTCCCAAACAAATGTTCACTTAGAAAAATATCTACTGAGATGCAATGATTTTGAAACATCTTTAACATCTTGTTTTCAGTTGAGGAAACTCATGAAAGCCACGTTATTTTCTCCAAACCTTTTTGACTGTTTACCATTTTCCAACACAGACTTTTCATGGAAAATTCCAAACATAATCCACTTGTATCATCAGTTCACTCTCTCAGGATGTTCTTGTTTGGGATGGCTCCTGAGAAGGAATAATTGAGAACTTCATGATCTGAGTTGATGCAGCACTGAAAATTTCAAATACTGGAGAAATTATCATGGAACCATAGAATGGTTTGAGTTGGAAGTGACCTTAAAGATCATCTAGTTCCAAACCCCTGCTATGGGTTCCACTACACCAAGTTGCTTAAAGCCCCGTACAACCTGGCTTTGAACACTGCCAGGGATGGGACACCCACAACTGCTCATTACCCATGTCCAAGTACCTGTTCATGTAAAAGCTTGTATTTCTCAAGGCATGTATACCAATGGCCCATTATCCCTTCTAGTCCTCTCACTAGGACTGATCTGAGTGTTTCTGTGGAAGTAAAAATCTGTCACTGGTTTTGCACAACTTGTACATCAATTCTTTACCAGTGTGTAAACTCTATAGCAAGTCTATTAGGATTCCCTCCTGCAAGGGAAATGCACACTTAATATATCAGAGGAAATTTCCTTCTTTTCTGTCATGCCAGACATAGAATTCACCAAATAGTCAGAACTAGCACTGATGGAAAGGGTAAAGTCAGATTCACTACAGAGCATGCTATTTTTTGCAGACAAGGAATCACTTCTCAGTGTACAATTAGAAACAATTAGAACATAGTAATTCTAAACCCCCAAAGAAAATTACCACTTCTAGATTTAACGTTCATTTGTTCAAGGCTTATGTAGGCATTTGTCATGTTAAAGTAATTTCTCTACAGAAGAAATGTTGAACCAAGAGTGCAAGATTGTGTTGATGTTTTGGTTCATCTTGAAGGAGGGAACCTTCTGCCATAGGTCTCAATGCTCAAGGGGAAGAACAGCACGTACAAGGACGAGGACTAGCATGCCAGTGGCCAAGAGCCTGCCACTAGAGATAAAGCCTGGGTACCATGTCAAGGTAAGGGCCCTCATAAGCCACTCAGCAAATGCTTTCTTTGCAACTCTTGCTGTTGTGCTTACCTGCTTCCCAATACCCATAGTCTTTGTTTTCCTCAGCTTACTCTGCAGAACGACAGGAAAACCTGAGGTTTTCCACAGTTTCTGGAGAGCAACATGCTTTCAAACAAGTGTTTGCCTTGCCTACAAGTAGCCGTGCTGAGTTACACCAAAGGTCCAACAAGCTTCTCACCACATCTGTAGCAGAAACCCCTAGTAGATACACAAATGTCAGAAGTCAAACACACACTAATTCTTCTCCTGAGGTATTTTCCTTGTTCCTACCACTCAGGGCATTACAGAGACTGATAATTGAATAAAACAAGAATGTTTAATGATATCAAAGGAACTATCTTCCATGAATGTCTAGTCCTCTTTTAATCTATTTTTGGTAACCTGTGGCAGAAAGTCCTGCAAGTTAATTCGGCTGCATGACAAACATGAAATTTTATTCACTTTAAACTTCTTTTCTTTATTGTATTAATATAGTGAATAAATATTCTCCTCTTCAGAATATTCTTAACATTTGTCGTAATATAAACCTCAGCCATATCCTTTCAAAGAGTTCTAAATTTATCTAGTTTTTTTCTCATGTGGAAGCAGATACATACAATTACCCACAAGAAAACCACTGTCAAGCCCAACTGTTGTTACTGAGACTGAAACTCTTCCAAAAATTAATTATTTAAAATAATCCAAATGGTGCAAATATCTAAAGATCAGGCAGATCTATAAAACCTGCCTACAGCAAAATCATGCAATTAGAATCATGCTCATAAGTGTTGGAGTCTTAAAACATTAATAGATCATTTTAATGGAAGGAGTTATTAAAATTGTCTTTGATTTGCATTATTACAACACTGAATGCACTATGGAAAACTGAGTTCATGAAATAAGTGCAGCACAAAACAGATTCTTATTGTTGGAACTTTAAAATAGACCATGCTTTACAGTTCCGCCTGAATTTTCTTTAGTTTTATTCCTCTTTTAAATTGATAAGAACTCCTGTTTTTATATTAGAAATAGAAATGAGGAGGAGGAGGAGAAAATAGCTCGATATTGAAATAAAACTTCAGAAAAGTAATTTGAGGAGAAAAGAAAAAATCCTTCCCAAAGTAATTTGTATCATAGATATGTTGTTCTGATCATAACCACTATTAAAAGTCCAATGAATTGCAGGGTTTCTGTAGATGATTTAGGAAAATGTTGCCCCAAATATGGAAACAATTATAAAGAAATTCATGACTCATTAGTAAGCATTCCTTGTTTTATTTCTGTTACAAGGAAACTGTAATTTCTGGATCTCTGACATCTTTGTATTGCGCTCTTATCCTCCCTGATGTGTTTGTAAAATTCCCTGTTTCATTAGTGGGACAACACCAATAAATCTGATGTGCAAACATCTTCCTTTATCCAGCAGAAAGCAGAATTTTGTTGGAGTGAATGGGATCATTTCCATCCTGTCTAACAGACTTGGAAATAAACCTACAAGGGTTAAAAATATATAACCAGAATCCCAAGGTGGAGGAAGGAATGCAGTGTATTTTCTCTGCAACAAAGGTATTTTTAGTTTTGTATTCTGTAGAATCCCTACAAAGGTCCATTCCACATGCACAGTTGTCTAAAATAGCTTTAGACATTTAGACTTGAGTTGATTTAATCCAGTACAGGAGTGTGCTCTAAATTTTTCAGGGCAGTGCAAATGTGCAAAACTGGTGTCTTCATGTTCAAAAGCTCTGTATGATTTAGAGGAACTGTGCCAATAAGTTAAAGGGTATTTCTACTAAAAATAGAAATTTTCTGGACTTAAAATATGGTTTAAAATTCAATGATGGGATCCTTAGCAGGTGTAAATCATCACAGAAATGATGCTGTAACACTTTACATGATATTACCAAATTGTCTTGCTGGTAATTAAGAAAATCCTCTGTGGAATCAAGACCAATGACAGGAGAAAGTATAAGTTGATATTGTCTCAGCACGCATAAGTGGAAGACAGAAATATTCATGTGCATAATCTTACACCTTGCCTACATGATACCCAGTGGGCTAAAGTAATAGCATACCAAATTATCTTGGAAAAGGCAATTCTCAACAGAAACTAAAAATTTTACAAGCTGTCTGTAAATTTCTCGTAATTATACATGGCAAAAATGAAAATAAAACAAAACAAATACTTTAAAAATATTTTTTAATTTTTTTTTTAAATCCAGACCATATTGCTCAAATACTTTTCTGTATTTCATCCCAAGAACATCGGTGTCTCTTTTTTCCCTGATTTCTTTTCATGGGCTTACTACAGCTATATCTGCAGCCCAGAGAAAGAAATGTAATTCCTATTGGGAAAGTAATGAAGTCATTCTAATGAAACGTGACAAATCTTTGCTCTGAATTTCTGGTGCAAATTTCAGGGGAAAAGGATACCTCTTAATTCAATAGCCACTTCCATGAAGAGCCATGCAAAATACACTGTTTCCTACAGCACAGTTCCTTTAATATACCAACATAGATTTTTCCAAAATCAACATTTCTTTATCAAGCGCTTCCCTTCCTCAGTATTAGAACTGCACCTCTTTGATCCTGGTGAAATAAACAGCTTCCTTAAGGAGATGTGAGGAACGGGTTGCCCAGAGAAGCTGTGGCTGCTCCATCCCTGACAGTGTTTCAAGGCTGGGTTGGATGGGTCTTGGAGCATCCTGTCTAGTGAAAGGTGTCCCTGCCCATGGCTGGAAGTTGAAACTCTGATCTGTAAGGTCTCTTCCAACCCAAACCATTCTATGATGTCCATTTTTAGCAACATAGTCTCAGGATTAGGATCTCAGATGTTCATGAAACATGCTCTGACCTATGTCTTCTGCTCATGGCTTTCCATAGTATCCCATGGGGTTTTGAAATAACTTGCTTTTAATTCAAATTAAGTCACTATGGAGGTGACAGGTCTAAATCCCATGTAACAAGACACATAGCTGATGACCAATACTCTGATTTCTAATTTTAGAAAGCAAGATCAGCTTTGATTCCATTATCCCAAAAAAAAACTTCAGAAATAGTCAACTAAGGGAGAAAAAGTATGGTTCATAGTGGTGAATGACACTTGGATGCATGTGTTTAAAATGTCCTGTAAGTCCAGAATAACCAGAATCATGATGTCATAACCAGATGGCATTACAAGGCTTACAACTTTGTCATACATGAAGATAAAAAATAGTCTGTATAGATTACTTGTGGGAATCTTTATTGCAGATATTAAAGGATATTAGCAGAAATCAGAAAATATTTAGGTGTATATATACGATTAGTCTTTGACCTTGTGGAAAATGTAGAAGGCCAAAAATACTGTGTATTAGAGATCCCTGAGCAAGATGTAGACATCATGTGCACACGTTAATTCAAAGACTTTTTCCAAGGTATAAAACCCACTAACAACAGAAAGTAGAAATATGTGAACGCTTCTCTGAAGCCCTCAAAACCAAATCTGGCTGCCTCTCTGAAGCAGTCTCCAGAAGCATTGTTCCTCCAGGAGTTAATATCTTCGCATTCCAAGCAGGGACACACTGAATATTAACATCTTTCTGAAGCTGCTTGATGTATTGAGCTCTTTTTTACCTTGGTATCCTGAATTTTCTTGTATCATGTAACATGAAGTGTAGCCTTTCTCCTTATTAATACAGAACATACAAATATCCATGTGAAAACTAGTAAATGCTGCCTGTTGTAAAACAGCTAATATTTTGTATAGAGGGAAAATTCTGTGACCTGCCCACTAAAGGAGAAGCACAAACAGTTTCTCCTGTGTGGCTCCCAGTGAACTCATCCCATTTTGTGCATATTGGAGCTTTGCAAATCTCCAGAGCTTTGTGTTTAGCAAAGCAGATGTGCAAACGAGGAGATCCTGGTGACCTCACCTCTGAGAATAAGGCCTTTGACATACGTTACTCTCCTGCTGACAGCAAGAGAGGTGTGGATCTGTTGGCATTTCACACCTGCAACTAATGTAGAAGTTGTAATGGTATAAGTGAGCATTAGGAATAAAAGTGATGCTTTGGACACGAACCAGCTATATTTAACAGGAAAGGTGCAAATCCATGTTATGGCTCGGGATATATATTAGCTGCAGCCCTTCTTTAACCTGGAAAGAAAGAATTATATCCAAGGGGACTTACCTCAAAGAGTTTCTCTTTCCTCTGGCAGAAGTGATGATTAGGCTAAAATTGGCCATTTGTTTTATCTGTAGTTGGGGAATATACGGTTTAGTTTGTACAGCTTCAACTGATACACCAGTCTCTGTTCAAGATCCTGATCTATAGATACTTCTTCACCATCAACAGAGCAATGAACTTTGAGCAGAGCTCAGGACCTCGCTCATTTCCTTTACCCTGGCTGAGCTGGCCTGGTAAATCTGCAGGGGGATGAGATCTAGCTGAATATCCCCAGTTCTCCAACTCTCCTCTGCTTTGGGAAGTCTGTGCCTCCAGACAGGCTCCTGCTGCCAGGAATTACAATAGCCCTTCACCTACTATATTCTTGTTGGTAACAATGATCCACACTACTCTTTGGGGCTTTTGGACTTCTACTAATACTGCAGCATGTATTAGCCTATGATACCACTGATCAGGGCTCTGTTCACTAAACCAGATTTATCAGCTACAAAGCATTTGGGGTTGGTTTGTGTGTTGTCCCATCTAGGAGTAACAAATCTTATTGGGTGGGTAGAAAGGTACCGTCACCCTTTATATCAGCTTGCTTTAGCCCTGAGAATTCATCTCCACTTGGGTTTTGGAGGTTTCTTTGTCAGTGTCTAACAAGTGGCTGTTCTGGTGCATCATGAGCTGTCTACCCGGCTGGGAAATGTCATGGGTGGAAAGGAGCAGTTTTGTCTCCTCCTGCCAAGTGTACACAGGATGGGAAAGGGTTACATCAGCACATCTCCCCTTGAAAAGTCAGGGAACATGACCCCCCCACCAAAGTGGACCCCTGGGCAACTACGTGACATTCAGCTTGAGGAAGGAAACCGGTTTGTCATCTCATTGCCTAATGTGTGATCTCAAGCCAGAGCTGAGGTGAACCTATGGGCGCAAGAGATAAGACTGTTGTTAACTCTCTGCTCGTATTCTGAAGATATTCTAGTTTCCAACCTCAGAAAGGGATACACATTTAAAATGTAGTGGGATTCTCAGTTACATGAATACTAACTTGTAGGTTCTCCTACCAAATGAAACAAAGCATCTCTCCCTATTCATCTTTCTTGTTTCTGTTAGAAGATGCAACAGCTTTGAAGTACATGAGACCTGTTATAACCCATGACTCCCTAGCCTGAGAACTGTATATACATATAGGATGGTGTTCTTACCCAGAATAATGTAAGCTATGGATGAAGTATGTATGAATACTTTTGTGTAACATGGTTGTATGCATATACTCTGCAAAATGCCTTCTGTATGTACTTGGAAAAAGTAATGTATATGATTCAAAGTAATCAGGTACATTAAAACATGCAGGAAGGACACAGAAGAGACAAGGGAAGGTATGGATAAAGGTAGGAAAAATGCCTCTCTGGCATTGTACCTTCAGTGTTTCTCAGCAATTATGATACAGTGGTTTTGTTTCTCTTGATGCAAACAAACCACTGAAGTTTTCCTGCTTTTTTCCCCATGTAAGATGTCCTTTAAACTGTGATGAGATCACTGGTGTATTAGTTCATTTTTAATCTTTTCGGAAAGAATTCAGGAACTGCAATGAGGTCATGACTGTAGTGATATCTAAAAGGATGGTTTTGTGGAGGAGAAATTTTCCTCTCATTTAGCGAAAGCAGAACAGAATTTGCAGCTGTCAAGTGTTTTGGACAAGTTAAGTTTGTTTACTTTTGACTGTTGTATGTTTTTGCAAATGACAGACTGCTTTATGCTCTTTTTCTCTTCCAAAGTACTGCATTAATCCAACACAGTTTACAGAGAAAGCACCCTGCTAGAGTGGTGCTCCATTTGAACAATCATCTAGCAACATCCTTACCCATGGTATCACCTCAGTCATACAGAAAAGAGGAGGGTAAAACAGTCAGACTCCTCTGACGACCTCAGTGTGCTCACATTAGACCTCTGTATCCTTCAGAAGGCAGATGCCTCACTAAGAACATCCTTGTTCCTGTCTCTTTCAAAGAGAAAAATCCTTGGGGCATCTCCCAGGGCCATGGTGTCCCTGTTTAATATGACATATCTGTGCCTTGTTGATCAATGGAGTAAAGTCAGGCATAAATCTGGACATTTCAGGCAATGACTGGGACGTGGAACTGCCATGCTTTTACTGTTGCTCTGATTTTACCTCCAGTCTTTCTTAACTCTCTGTTTGCTAAGTTAAGTAACAATGGATTGGATGGATTTAGTAGTGGAAATATGTAGGCAGATAGAAATATATGCCTTGCTTTACCATGGCAAATGCATTGTATTTTACTGGGTTCTAATGAACTTAAAAATTACTCCCCTGCATGCTTGCTGCCTGGGTCAGAGGGGTTATTTTGCGTTTGCTGTCTTCCTGAATTCTTCAGATAATTCCCTCTGGATTTGTTGGGTCAGCAACAAAGTGGTGATAACAAATACACTGCTGCTTTAATCCAGTGCTATGCTTTCTCCCTCTTTGCAACATGGATTTGTGCCTACTACCAGTTACATCGCTCCTAGTTTAACAACTTCAGGGCATTAGTGACATACAGCACAAAACCAGTTCCCCTTTCATATCTAGAGACCAAACGTCCTTCATGATCTGTGTGACACAGTGGAGGCCACAGGTTTAGTTTTGCTCAAAGTGTTTAAGAGCTTTAGTTACCCAGAGAGGAGTGGGAGATTAATGGTGTTCACTGATAGTGATAGTGAACTGTGCGCTCTAAATCCCACTGCAAGCAAAGAGAGCCCACATCTATACTACTAATATATATAGCTATAGAAAATCTTTCTATTTAAAAAGACTAATTAATAATGCTTAGTGGTCTGGATTTCTCAGTATGAATTGCAGGGATTTTGGCAAGCTTAGGGAGGTGGGGAAATGGGTTAATGCTGCGTTGTTTAAAATTGCAGGGTTTTAAATTGTTTAAAACGATACGCAGATAGGGTTTCCACACCAGATTTGAGACATTTGCTCCTTTTTATTTGTACTAAAATTTCGGCTTGAGCTCACATTGCCATTGTACCCAGACTGCTTCCTAGACCAGCTAATTTGTCTACCTGTGTTCCATTTTAGGCCTTGGTTTTAATTTGAGGATGGTTCCTGCTAATACCAAAGACTGGATAGGACATCCATTAAAAGTCTACACAGCAATTGAAATGGAAAATTCCAAAAGAAACCCTATTAGAGTTTTTCTCCATCAAATCAACATTACAGACTTCTTATGCATTTCTTAATTAGACATTGATATTAACTGGACTGTTGCATGATTTAAATCTAGCTCTTAATCTCAGCTATTCTATGCTGCTGTAGTTTTTATGACATCCAACTAGCGACTGCTTTATGCATTAATCTATCTGGAAAACCACCTTCACTTTTTTTTTTTTTGTCTTTTTTTAGAAGAATAAAGGCCCCAAGAAGGAAATGAAAGCTTTTGGGTTCAGCCATTAGTAATTTTCTGCTTAGTATTTGAAAAATTGCTTATTTTAATTGCTTCATAGAAGAAAAAGATATCAAAGCTAACGTTCTTTCTCTCCAAACTTTGTAATTATTTCCCTCAGACTCTTATTTGAAATGCCTTGAAAGGATTTTCATTGAAATGTAGATTTCTTCCCTTTCAAAAGTACTTTTATTCCCCCGTGCTTCTTTCCCCTTTTTTTCTCTACTGACTTCCTCTCTAGATTTAGAGCAAAATACATAGACTCCAATCTGGACACTGTAGCATGTGTCACACAGATGTCCCTTAAGTGCCATCTTCATTAAAACTAACCTTCCCATGGCCTAGAGGCTGTGGTGACAATTGACCATAGGTTTTAGCTGAGTTTGGGTTTCCTCCACAGACAGTGAAGAAGTGATAGATGTTATAGGGGTTTGCTATAACAGTTGTACTCATTCTGAAAATTGCTGTGTGATTTGCTTATTAATATCACTGCCACAATCAGGGAAGCTGAATGAAGACACTTTATAAATGTTAGTGAGAATGGCAGTGGAGTTTGAGGCTTGTGATATAGTTAAGGGACAGGTGAGCTTTGTATAGTTTCAGTTTCTGTTTCCAGCAGTATAAAGCTGAATTTCCTAATCCAGGAAGGAGTTTGCTAACCAAACCCCATAGTTAGTTCAGCTTTGTATTTAAACATCAGGAGCACAAAGCTTCAGGATCATGTTGGTCTTATCAGTAATACTTGATACAATACAACAATAGTAGCAAGAAGTTCTTTATTTCACCTGTACATTTCCAGGGAAATAGATTATGATCTGGTCAAAATGATCTATACATTCATTACACCTAGAGTGGGCTTTCATAACTCACAGTATCTAAGAATGAGGCAAAACTCACATTTGTTTATAGTGCAGAATTCTGCTCAGCAAAAAAAGGTGCATTGAAAATATTGTCCTAAGCACCTTGTGATCCATTCCTAGTCCTGGGTGATTTCTCATGCCAGCTCAAAAGCATCTTTAAGAGCCTCAGAAGAGTGGGCACCTGGCTGCTTCAGAATATAGCAGTTCTCTCTGCAAATAAGTAGTCCCGCAAGCCTAGTGCAGTCACGGGTAAGGTTATCTGGCAGGGGGAATCTTCACAGCAGAACAAAACATTTGGAGAAGAGAAGATTGAAATGAAGCTAAAGCGTTCTCAATATCAGATTTTACATGCGTTTTTTTGCAGTCACACAAAAGGAAGAAAGAGAACAAGAAAATGAGTTAGAGGAAGATGGAGACAGAGATGGTCTTTTAAGCAAAGCTACTTTTTTACTCTCTGAATTTACAGTCCTGATAGACATCTTTATTTAAAATTACTCATTTTTTTATATTCAGATACTACAGTTTTCAATACTGAGTCCTAGATTTGTCTGGACAGATTATCCTCTTATTCCTACAATGAAACTTAATTATCCTTTTTATGTCTTCAGATACTTTCAGTCTTTTCCTGAACCATTTCTGGGGACAAAGAGCAGCTGTGGGTCAGTCAGAAAAGCAAGTGTTGTGCATCCCTGTTGGCCACACGTTTTTGAAGGCAGAAGCCCTTTGCCCCCAGATCTCCTTAGAAAGACTTTGAGTGCTAGTATATAATTTACTTGGACCTACTTTTGCTGAGCCTTTTACTAGGCAGAGACTCATCATTTTCTCAGCACCTTTCTGTGTATTACTTGGAAGCATCTTAATGTGAGTAACTCACCTGGAATCTGTAAAAGGATATTTGAATGATTCACCTCTGAGACAAGAATAACCCCTCATGAAATCCAGGATGGGAATGACTGCAAGGTTTAAAACACACCTTCCTATGTATCACTGCTGTTGCAGTGGAAAGGAATGCATCTAAGTCCAAATAACTAAATAAATTGGTTCAAAGCAGCAGCAGTAGTAGCACAGAGGGTTGTGTAAGTTACCAGTATTGAGTAGTTACTAGACTTCAGGACACTTCTTGGTTTCATCTGTAAAGAAGCCTGTAACATACATTATCCATTATCACTACCTTCTGTCTGAGCAAAGCTAACAGAGTAGTCAACATGGAAAGGTTGCATGAGGTAATCCAAGACTTGCAAGTAATAAAGAGAAAATTATAATGAGTATCCATTCAGTCTGAGAGTTATTTTTTAGCTCTTTTTCTAGGCTTCAGTTGTTCAAATAAGAAAGAAGTGTTACAATAAATTAATATATATATATATATAGGCTTAAGAAAATTACCACATTCATCAGAACACAGAGAGAGCACAACTGGTGTGTGTTATAGAACCTCTTCTGAATGAAATGCTAAATCCCAAGGACTGACCTGGTAAAATAACATATGAATAGAGCAGTGTTGCGGTGGTACATGGAAATGCTTCATTGCATTGAACAAGTAGTGGTCCATAACAGTTTCACAACTAGGCTGGGATTAACAACACACTTTGCATGGACTTTATACATTGAATAAAACCCAAATTAAACAAAAATGCACTTACCCTGGAATAGTATTCAGATACCAGTCACATCTCTGCATGAAAGTTGCTGCTTCCAAATCCAGCCTGTGACCTGAGCCTGAAAGCAGGGAACAGGATGGTGCGGTATCACTGAGACCTCATAGTCTGTCATACCAAAACCAGAGATTAAGATGGCACTGTAGAATAAAATACAGGTTTCTCCGTCACACCCAACCTACATTTTTTCCTGATGAGTTTATCACTCTTAATAATTTCCACTAGCCTGGGAGAACAGATAATCTGCTTTGTATAAATACAATAAACAGTGCTTCAAAGGACACGAAGTTTACCCAGTTCATCATTTCTGTGATTTGAAATAAATGTAAAAAGAAAAGATGTCTAAAGCAAAATGTAGGATCCCGGGACAGAAGGTCTCATGATGAGTCCCCATTTTTGCTGCTGAGTTCTGTCATCTTAAATTTGTCGTTTTAACCTTCAGCCTGGGTGCATTTGTCTGCCTCCATTAAGTAGATAGTTAAAACCTTTTATAGGGCTCTTATAGTACTGTGTACTGTACAATCTGTACAGTGCCTGGCAATAAACTAGGTCCTGATCTCATCTGTGCCCTCGCTCTGTGTGACTGGAAAATGAGTGATAAAAAATAATAATAAGCTCTGAATAATTATGTATTGTCTTTATAGTGAAGCAGGTCCTGAGCACCTTCTCTCAGCAGAGCTTTCCACTGGGAGAAGTCCCATTTAAAACATCTCCCTGGCATAAAAATGAATTGGATCCTGTCACATGAATGGCCTGCATTTACTATTCCTTTCACTTACCTTCCAGTCTTTCGTTTTCAGAGCTGACTTGTGTCTGTTCCCTGGTTGTCAGCAGGAACTGGGTAACAAGAACTTGCTGGAAGTGGATTATAAAGCAGACAAACACACAGAGGCAGAACTGCTGACTCAGCAGATGCATTATTGCAACCATGACGTAAAACTATCAAAAAACAAAATGAAAGTTCTGAATGCCTCATAATTCATAACAAAAAAGCAAGGGAGAAAAGTGAAATAAGGATTTTGACCAGTGCTAGGGAATTTGGAACCACACTGGCTTTTGAGATCCTAAGAAATTAAGGATGGGTCTGGGTTGAATTCCTGGTCTGTTTGAGCAGCAGATGTTCTCCTTCCTGTAACCGTTTCAGCATCAAGCACTGCATCCGTGATCTGTATAAAGGCAGCACTTAGACAACCCTGTTTACAAGAACCGCTCCATTACAGCCATGAAAATCAGTCAGCATCTCAGCTTTAGGATACTGAAAATATTTGGGAAGTTCAGGAGAACACTTCTCCCAAGCTCCCAACAGCTCTAAGTGTGATACCAGGGCAGCTTGTTTCATCTGGAAGATGGGGAAGGTATGTGCTGCCTAGATGTTGAAGCTCTTAGAAAAGGTAATAGTTCATACCTGCTGCTTGTCCCAGGCATGGTGTATCTCGTCCAGGGAGATGGAGCAAAACAGAATAGGGCAGATGCAGAAACACCACTAGTAACCTGAGGGATGTTTTGGTGGGAAATAATGGGAGATTATGGGAAAAATCTGTGGGCCACTAAGTGCCCTGGAGCAACTGTTGCAACACTGAAGCAGTTTCTGTATGGCTTTAAGACATCTGCTTTAAGGAAGCATCTGCGATTGCAACTGCATCTTCCTTCTCTTAACTCTCCGATTCCCATGGACCAGCAGTTGCCTTCCTAAATGAAATGCTTCTTTAGGGAGACTGGCTGGCCCCAGGGTTTGGTAATGCAATATAGTGCCTTTCATCTCTCACCCATGAACCCAAGTCAAACAGAGTTTGGTAAATGGCCAGTAACCCTTCCTATCCCAGGGGCTGTTTGGTGGCCTGTGTGAAATGAGGAGGGTCATCTCTGTGGCATTTACAAGAAGGCAAGTGTCAACTTCACCATAAAAAGGGACACAGTTACAACTCATTATCACCCAATTTAACATTTTGAAGCCAAGAGAATGAGCCTAGAAAACTCCCCAGTCTTCTTACCCTACAATGGCAAATGATGGTGTACAAAGCCAGTATATCAGGGCTTGAAGAACGTTAATGAAGACAGTTGCATTGTAGCAAACCAGGCTGTGCCTCTCCCATGGACAAGAAATTCAGGTCTGAACTACTCACAGAGGTGTGTGATTGCAGTTCTCCCCAGATCTATGTGGAAATCCCCAGGAAAAATGGTTAAGATTTAGGTGCAGCAGGCACTGAAGCACATCCATGAAGTTACAAGGCTTCTGCAAATCTATATTTAGGATCTTAAATAGACACAAGTAACCTGAATAGGGACACAGCATCCAGCACTGACAGAGTTAATGTGCCAAGAAATCCTTCTCTGGAAGGCTCTGTTCCCTCACCCATCATGAATATACTGTTCTGGTTACTAAAATAGCTGTATTTGGAAGGGTTGAAGGCCAGAAGCTCGCTGCAGTACCCATTCTTGCACTGCTCATTTTAAGGTCAGACCTTTAGCATCAGGAACCTGTTAGAAGAAAGAGGAATCCCTTTAAAAGTTTTTGCCACTCTGGACTTTACCCTGGAAGGTCCGAGAGGGGAAAGGGAAGGGCAGGGGCAGATAAACATTTGGCCACATGAAAGTGGATCCCATTCAATAGATCTGCCTAAACCTCTGAAATCCGCCCAAAACTACGGACAGCTTGCTCTTAATCATAGTGTTTCCAGTCACCACTATCATTTGTAGCCCTGTTATGCCACAGCAATAACACAGTCACTGTCAACTGTGAGTTACCGTTTAATTCCTGCTATCTTGATTAATTGCATTAAATTGGTATACCTATGTTAAATAAAAGATGATGGCAGAGGCAGCTTTTACTCCTTATTCTTTTGTGTAGATCATTTCACATGGCTTCACAGGTTGGGAAAAAAATAACAATATAGACACATCATATTTCAGCTCAGCTGATAAAGCTGTTTTACTTGTAGAGTGGCCCATGATTTTCTTTTGCATATCACAGTATAAGCTTAATTACCATGCTGCTGCTGCATGGCAGCTCCTCTCACTTTCTTTCTTTATTTGTATTATTTGCAAGTGGTAATCATGTTTTCCTGTCATCCCCAAGCAATGTGCATGCGTGCGTACAGGCAAATGCCAAGCCTGGAAAGGAAATCTGATGCGTGTCCATGAATTGGAGTTTTCAAACTTTGGCTGAAGATTAGTACATGTAAACATAGCTCTGCCCCCTTCATCTTGGGTAATTGGTCACAAATGCTACTTGACACTTCTCAAATCAGACACTTTACATACTTCTGAGCATAGCTGAACTTTTTTGGCAGGAATTAATTTTCTTTGCAACTCAGCCACTCATTCCTGGCCCAATCCCTACTCCAGTGATTTCAGTGCAATGTTCTGCCAGTGCAAGAAGCGTAGAGGCAGGACCAGATCTGTTTGCTAGTGTTGACGAGCCCAGCTTTGTTGATTCCCTCAGAAATACAATTACTGCAGCTAATGTTCTGCCCTTTGCCAGCCTTGATTAAGTGGGATTTTTACCTTCAGGTCCCTCTCTCTATTCCAATTACTGCACAAGTTACACTGCACCAAGGGATATCTCAGAAAGATGAAGAAGGCAATGTAGCATCATAAGAAAATACAACTCCTGACACACCAGGACCCTTCCCCAGCAGCATCAGCCATATGGGAGATGGCTCCAGACACCATCCACCCCCAAAGAGATTCCTTCTATCTCTCCTGTAAGCAGTGCATGCTGCAGCAGAGAAGGGGAAGCCATTCCTGAAGTACTGATGAAGTCTGAAGTAGCCACAGAATTTCATGCTATTAAACAGCCTCCTGTTTGCTCTGACATTGCTGTGTGTTTACTCACCATGCAGGGGTACAGCAAGAGCTGAGCAGACCATATGTTCACTTAGAAGGGCTGCCAGGTCTCAGGGAGCATTACTGTGCTTATTCCAGGAGGAGTTTGGGGCAAGAGCATGTTCCATAAAGGTTTTCACTCAGCATATTATATTTTATCTAGTGATTTATTTCTGTCCAGCCTCTGGACTGAATGCCAGTTTACCAGCATATCCATGTACATCTGTGAATAACCAGTGGAAAATATCATTTACCCTTTATTCACTGGGATGTTGATAAGCTGCAGCATATTAAAAATGTTTGTCAGTTTGTTCTTTTCAGCTATCAAGTAGGATGTGTGCCAGCATGCCCTCCTCATGCTGGCTGCTTCATCCAGAAAATGCAGAGAAAATGATGAAACAATGTCAGTTCTAGAAGAGAGTGAAGGTTCAGATGCATTATTTTAGCATGTTTGTCTTGCTCATCACCAACACTGTAAATCAGATTGAGCTCCTACCTGCAGGAGCTTCAGATATAGACCATAAGAAGAGAAAATACCTGGTCATGGTCACATGTTGCCTTGGTTCTCAAGGCTTCACATAGCTCAAAGCACTGATGAGAGAAGCCAGGACAGGAATGGTCCTCACAACCATTCTCCATTCTCTTGTAGCTTGTGCCATGACAGAGATGAACCAGTGGCAGTCAGGGAACCAGCATCTCTCTGTGTGCGTGGTCCCCACACTTTCCAGTCATGGTCTTGTGATGCTTCATCCCTAGAAAAGAAGGATAGCTGGTGTTACAAGAGATACAGCACATTCACTGTGGAGAAGCAAATGTACTATTGCCCATAAAATTGCCATGGAATAACACAAGAGAAGAAATTGCATGGTAGTATGTACTGGGTTTTCATAGATTTTTATCTTAAATTAAACAGATGGAGACATATCTTGCTTCCTCCTATTTAACTCTGATATTGGAACCATTATGGGAGTGATATTTATAGGTGAACAAGACACCGATTGGCAGAGAGATGCAACATCTAAAGCCAGAGCTAAGGAGGAGGCTTAGTTTCCATTGTTATTATATATCACTATATAAATTTAGCTTTCAGGTCCTAGACATTTTAAAATAACACGTCTAGTGTTAGAATAGAAGAGTATCAGCAAAAGTGAATTACAGGTTACAGTCTTCTAGTACTTGCAGCAAAAGAACTGTTGTCGTAATTACACCTATAGAGTACTCATTTATGTTGTTCTTAGAGGAAAAGGATAGTATAATCAGGATGTATGGAAAGACAATCTTGCAGAAGGGGAGACAAATAATTTAGCTGGGACAAAGAACTACGATGGCAACTCAACACACTTCTGTTTTCAGCACATGAGCTCACTGTGTGAACCTGCAATGCCCAATGATTTAGGGGAAACCACTACAGGTCGCTGATGTCTGATCCAAATGGGAACAAATCCCAGCCCACAGAAAGGCCTGACCTCACAAATAGAGACCCCAAGACTGGGAGCTGGATGCCTTTTTGTACCACTGAACATCTCCATAGTCTTTTCTAGGTGAGAAAGGAAATTGCTCGAATGACTCCATAAACTCAATACTTAAAATCCTTCCACACTACCAAAACAATCAAACCCGGGCTCCTGAACATTTGAAATGAAGCTAAAATAAGGAAAAAAAAATATTTTTTCAGGGGAAAGGTGAATCTACATTTTGGCTCATTATTTTGTGGTTGGGGCTAAGTGGCTGTTATTAGTCCATAGGTATTCACTGTTGTAAATCCACAGCTTTGCCTCCTGGATGTCATTACTGAAAGTGAGTGAACTGTTGCTTCAGTGGCTAAAGATTTACTTGCTTAATGCCTGGTCTCATCAGCAAATTCAGGCTGGCAATGACATCCTACTTGTCTAAGCTAATATACAGCTTTGCACTCTCCTTGTTTTTCTTCCAGTTCAAACTTATGACTTAGTGTTAATGTCTACCACTAACTGACATTAGCTGAAGTGAACGAAATGATGAATGAACACACAGTTTTGCGTGTAGATAATTAGAAGTCCAGCTGAGTAAATTACATTATTTAATGTATCATCATTAAAAAGCATCTAAACAATTTTTTTTTCTTATATAACTCTGTCTTTTTAGTGCTCTGACAACAGGCATGAAGCATGTTATGCATTTTGGTAGAGATTTGTTTTCTAAATATGATAGAACCACTTGGAGCTTAAGTAAGAAGGTGTGTCCTTAATTGAGTAAGGTGTCCATACTTGAGAAAAATCTTGTGTTATTGGTAAAACTCCTTGTTTGACTGTGCTGCAAGTAAAAGGATGATATTTAATTATGACAATTCAAACTCATCTGGTTTCTTCAAGTGCAGACTATACTGATTTACAGTACTAATATAGAAAAGGTGGAATAAAAAGCTGGTTTATTTAGAAACTTACTCATTCCTAAGAATGTCTGTTCAGCTCATTTTTGAATTTGATTTCTTATCCCAGGTGAATTACACTGCATTTCAAGAACTGCTTGTGCCTGATAACAGCTGATCGAAGTACCAGCATAGTTAGGTCACTTTGATTGTGGGATTTTTGTTTATTGCTTTATTGGACAATGGTGTTTGCAAAAGGAAGATTAAGAGCACCATGGACAGAATTACAGGCAATGGTTAGTGTCTGAGACTTAATATCAGTATAGGACCGCAGTCGGTAAAATCAGTGGCAAATGAAACCAGCTTTCAGGCAGAATCAATGTCTTGTCCTGAAAGAAACAGCAAGGAAAATCCGTGCAACTGTTTCAGCATGACAAACGAACATAGGCAAGTTGAAGATAATCATGGTTATTTAATATTCCACAGCTTTACAACTCGATACTTTGTGGACAAAAGATCAGAAGGCTGCTGAGTCCAAAGTTTTGAATCTTTGGGTCAATATGCTTCTCATGTCTTCAGCATTTAGTTTAATTTAGGAGGAAACGGTTCCAAGCTAAGATAAGATCTCAAACAAAATTGACGTGGACTTACAACATGGCCTAACATAACAATTTAATCTATCCTGTGCTTCCCCTGAAAGAAGGCTTAATAACTGTGCTATGATTTCACCTGCTGCTTCTAACATTTGTTCATTCTTTCTTTCTGAACAAATTTAGATTATCAAATGGCAAGCAGCTTTGTTCATGGTAGGCAAACTTGAATTCATTCAGGATTAATAACAATGGGTTCAATCCTGGATTCAATGACAGTCTTAATGAATGGAGTCTTTGGAAGAAAAATGTTTGTTTGCGTTAAAAAGAAATACTTAATTCTCAGTTTTCCTGGGTGCGAGGTGATTACAGCACGTATCACAAAATGTTTTCCCTATATATTCAGCCTTCACTGGGAGAACAAAGAGCAGAAACGTTCCCCAAGCCCTGGTATTGCAGATAGGGGCCATTCTGTCCTTGTTATTTCAAAATCTGAAGTTTCACAGTGAATTATTTGGTGCGAGGAAAAAATATGTCTTTTACTCACAGTATTATCTCAGGCCCTTTTGTTGATCTGGTGCTGGGGAGTAAGAAGACAGGAAGATCCACGTTGCCATTATCCATCAGCAGTCGTAGGTTGAGACAGGACTACTCAGGTGGAGGAATCCAGGCTTGATCTGGATTTTGGCCCAATCCTCACCATTGTCTTATACATGGGCATCTTCCAAATTCCTGTGGAAAATCCTGTGTTCTTTACCGCTTTCCTGTCTCTTGGGAAGCAACTGGAGCAGACACCACCACTGTGCCTGGCCAGGGAGGAGCTGATGGAGCCGCACTGCCCAAAACCAAGGACCCACTCATCTCAGTATAAACTGCCAGACTTCAGTAAATTCACCCTGCAGGCAATTTTACCCTGGAAAACATCACCCACGTTGCTAGAGTTTAGGACAACAAATTAGACCTTTTCATATGCATTGGAAGCTTTTCTTTTTTCTCCCCCCCACCCCCCCTCCTTTTTTTCCCCCAGTAACATCCAGTTGCTTAATTCCATTTGAAATCACCCTGGGTAGGCACCTAAATACCTAAATAATCTTGTCCTTCATGCCTGTCAACATCTTGAGGCACCTAACCACCTTTAGAGATGTGGTGTGAAAGCTTGTGAACGATGCAATCGAGGAGGGAAACAAAAGACAAGTATCCCTATTTGCTGCCCAAGAATCCACAAAGAATGCTGCTTCGGCTCTGCTCTGATTTCTAATTAGATTATGAGTGATGTAGGACTCTGAAGCCAAGCTGGAGTTTGTGCTAGCACTTTGCATCTATGAATGACAAAGGGACACCACTTTCATATTGATTTAAGCAAGCCAGTGGAAGAATGTTTAAACACCAAGCGCTTGATGCCCCAGCTTGCCAGAGCACCTGGAAATATCAGATTAATTCCAGGTGTTGTGCCATTTATGACAGGCTTGCTGCTTTTACAGCCACACATACAAAACGTGGCTCCCAGTTCCACAAATAAAAACGGAGTGGTTTCTGCTCCTAATGCCTCGATAACTCTGACATATTGCAAGTTCTGGAAAGAATTTTAATCTACATAGTTTTTTTAATGGGGAGGGGAATGGGGGGGGTGGGATTTTAAATATGCTGCATACAATTTGTGATGGTCATCTCTAAAATGCAGCTCCATTATCCTTTTCCATTTGGAATGAATGAGGCTAATTAATTTCAGGCCATACTTGATGAGGTCAGCACCATACGAAGGGTGCGTGCTAGACATTGCTAATCTCTTTCAGCTGAGAGTGATGAATTAAAGATGAAGCATTCCTTTGCAGGCCTAATTTAGAATGTATATCAAAAACCTACAGCAAATAATACTATACCCTACAACAAAGGAAAACTTGTTCTCTCAGGCTCCCATGTAGGGTTGATTTTAAAGGCATTTTCATTTCGCTTTGGAATTCCAGCTGTGGATGGGTGAAACAGTTCAGAAAATTCAAGCTTTCTCTCTTTCTCTTGCTTTTATGGACAAAAGTAGGCAAGGGAGGGGGGCTAAGGGGAGAGAGAAACTAGTCAGTGTTTGATCCTGTATATACTGTGATTCTGACTGTACGCTAGACATTTAGGAAAGCAGCCAGGGTCTTGTGCTCCCCAAATACCTGTGATGTGACACCCCCCCCCCCACGGCACACACTGAAATCTTACTGCTTGGGGGGTTCTTTTAAGTCTAAGGGTAAAGCTACTGAGTGTCCCGTTTTGTTCAGCATCACCTCAAGGATGTTTTGTTGCACGTCTCAGGCTTTTCCCTGGGAAACAGAACAGGTCCAGGTCACCCAACAAGGACACAGGAGCTTCCCAGCCAACACAGAGCTGTGTTTCTCCACAGGGAAAAACACTGCCCTGTGCAAAAAGGTCTTGTCGCGTATAGGAGCAGAGGTAGCAAAATTTAACAGAAATAAGTCACAAAAAGCAGCCACACCAGGTCTGGAAGCAGAACAAATCACTACGGGGCTCTCAGATTTGCTGGACTTGGGGCTCAGCCAAACTTTGCCACCTCTCCCTTAGTCAAAGCCCCCCATAAAGTCCAGAGGGGCTTCTCCCTGAACAGGATTTGGTCCTGTGGGCAGCAAGAAATTAACCTTAATTGTCATTTTGGGAAAACAGGGGCTATGAAACCTTAATCCAGCCTCGGAAGGAGGCTGAAAACAATAGACCACCAGCTTCCCCACCACTTTGCTGCTTAATACCTGGCAGTCCCTTGAAATTCTTGACAGGTTGCTGCAGCGAGTCGAAGTTCCCAACTGGTGGCCATAAGCGGCTGCCGTCTTTGTATCCCAGTAGTCCTCATTAGAACAAAGCTGCTTCGAATTAAATCCAATCTACATGCCGAATCAATCTTTCAACCCTTTGATTGCTTCTGAAAATATTTATATTTCTTAATAATGCACATTTTGTCCCAGAGCCTGTGATTAAACCCAGACAAGGTCTGGAGAAGCCTGAAGTATATGTGGAAGGGGTTATTTTGGACAGGAAAAGAAAGATAAAGAACACAGGTTTTTCCTATTGTGAAACCATTAGAGTGTATAAATCTAGCAATTGCAGTTGTATAAGCATCAGAGTGGGGTTGTAATAAATACAGATTGGAGTATTATAGTAACCAAATGGAGTTTATGGATTATGTTCGCTAGTTCATATTTCTCAGCTACTACAATCTAACTAGCATCACAATGCACTCAGCTCTATTAATATTCTCTATTAATATTCTCTTTATATGTTTGGGGCAGGGGGAGGAAAGTTAGGAATCAACTGCTGCTCTGTGTAAAACAAACACGTTTAACGAATCATGCCCTCCAAAGGGAAAAATAAACAAGGGGACGCTGTAAAGTGACTGTGTTGGAAGGGCACGGGCTGTGGCTGGCTGAAATCGGCTCTGTTCTGCTAAAGTTAATAACTTCCATCTGAGTAAGAATCTGACCCTAATGCAGGGCATTTTGCTGTGTGAAAATTAGGATGTAAAAATGGAGACAATAACCGCTACTATCCCTCACCCGGGTAAATTTATAAGGTGGTAAATAATAAGCTTTTGGCTGGAGATGAGAAACACACAAAGGCTTTGAAGCTGCACTTTGTGGTAAATAGCGTATTATTCCCTCCTCAAAAAGTAGCATACATCACAGGTAAGATATGTGGAGGTGAAGGGAAGGATACATTCCCGGGCTGAGAAGCAGCCCAGATAGGGCCTGATCCTCCAGAGTGGGAATTTGCTGTCGATTAAGAAGGGAGCTGTGGCTGGGGACGCAGATCTGATAAAGGCACTGTACCTGTCTCCCTCCCTAAACATAAATGACTGCCCTTGTCTATAATAAAAGGTAAAAATTGACTTCTGAAAACACGCCACGATAAATCTCCTTGGATAAAGTAGCACAATGCCTGGGTGAGAGGGAAAGAAATCCTAGAAACTAAAGATAGAGGATGCTTATTTAATATCATTGTCATCATCAACATCACGCAGTAAATACAGATAATATACTTCAGCAGCAGGATGGTAAATGTTTATGGTAGTTTTGCTTGTGACAGTTTCCCTTCTTATAAAGGATAGAAGGAAATATTCTCAGTTAACATATTATACATTGATTCTTTCATCACATGTTTCATTATGTTAAGCTGTAATTTCATAAATAAGTTGGGGGGTGGTATTATTATGATACATAAATCCTGAGTCTTGACAGCTGTTCTGCATTCATATATGATCTTGGATGCTCAGTCTTTAAGGTAGAGAGAAGGGGTTTTATCATCACCAAAAATAAGGGGAGAGGAGGGATGAAGGAAAAACCTCCCACAAATAGGGACAGATCCAAAATTCAGTGACATGCACGAAAATCCATTTTGGATCAGGTCCCCAGCAGAACATTGTATCATATAACTAGTATCTTCTGAATATTTCTATTGTCTGACAACTCAGATTTCACACTAAACTTGAGTTTGCTTCTGAACAGAAGCTTTTTGTATAGAAACTTTAAATCATATCCCTTCGTGAACACACACATACCACAGAGGATTTTGTCTTCTTAAAGAGTTTAAGCCTAAAGGTGTATGCCTATTTTTAAAAGAAATTTTCTGATTGTAGATAACTGCTCAATTTGATTTAGTGTCCAATGATAGTGATGGGGTTGATAACTGAGCATTCATCGGTAATTCATCTTGTGCTAGTAGAAATTTACAGCAAAGCAGTGCTTTCCCAACACTGACAAGTCCTATTAATCTTCTTCAGACACATTTCAATAGGTGTCTCCATCTGTGCCCAACATCTAAACACTCTGGCATCACTAGGGACTTGGAGACACCTTCATTTCAGGTTACACTAGTGAAAATGTGATACTAGATTGTACTCTATTTTTAACCTAATTCTCTCTTTTCATTCAATTAGCCTTTCTCGCCTGCATTTTTCTACTCATGTGTAACATCCTTTTCCCAGGAAGAGCTTAAAAATTAGATTTAGTTACTTAAAGAGACAGAATCTGCCAGGGCAGGAGCAACCAAGAGCTTAATACATCAAAGCAGAATAATAAAGCTCATGCATAACGGTGTGGACACCGAGTCACCAGCCGCAGAACACCTCCTGCATCACATGCCCCCGATATTCCACTCCTGATGCACCTCGTGCAGGCATTGTTTGGTTAGGACAGGTCTGAAACTAAACACCCCACCTCCAGCTTCCCAGACTGCAGAGCATTTGGGGGTTGAAATCCAGTATGTACCAAAACATCTCTGTTTGTTCAGGCTGCATGGGGATCACCACCATACATCCCCACTTCGCTTTACATATACGGCTAATGCATGAACAAACACATCACAGTCAAATTACAGCAATAACATTTATGGGTGGATTATGTTCCAACTTCCTCGCTTATTATTAAAAGCAAGTAAATTGCAAAGCACGTGGAAGAGGTAGGGTGCAAACGCAGGCGAATTTCCACTCGGAACCAAATGTTGTTTTTTCACTCCCAAAGCTGCGATGAGTTTGCTAGCAGACGCAGCGCAGCTTTAGAGCTTACTCATTCAAAAACGTGTGTTTGGGTTCTTTTTTTTCCTTCTCCCCTCCTTACTCCATTTACGTTTGCCTTCCAAAGGAGAGCAGATGCACACCATTTGGGTTTGGGTAGCTCTTACTCGCTCTGAACTTTCTGCTGAAAAGAGCAAACCACGTTCTGCTCCACAACTCGGAGGCAGAATCAAACTTTGTTTCTGGCTTTATGAAGTTCTCTTGCGAGTTGTATTATAGATCTAAATGACCTTATTGTAGGTGGCAAGTTTAAATGTGCCATATTAATAACTTGTTATCCAAGACAAATTAAGTCCTTATGTGTCAAAAGCACTCTGCTCTGGATTACCTACAAGACAAGTATTTATTGAATAAACGTTGGATCCAATTTCATTTTAATGTGACTGACTGTATGCTTCAGCCCCTTAGAATGAGATAAAAACACTCAAATCTACAACTGTTTTGCAACATTACACCTAACTTGTCTGTTTCTATTATTGTCTTTTTAAAGTGGGAGATCAAAAATGTTTGGGGTTTTTAAGGATTTTTTTTATTATTATTATTGTTATTATTCTTAAGAGCAAAGAGAGAGACAGGAAAAAAAAAAGACTGGCATTCAGCCTAAAGAGAAATCATTGAAACAAATTAATCCTATGCCGTTTAAATTGACATGGTAATCCATCATCAGCAAAGGGAAACTCTGAAAGCAATCTAGAATCTGCAGTGTTCTTTCACTGGCCCTCAGGCACAAAGACAGATAGTAAAAGAGGAAGAGAGGAGGGGGGAGAGAAAAATCATAAAAGTTAGCAGCACCTTAGCAAAGGGAAGGGCTCGAGAGAGCAGCTTTCACTTCTTCCTGCTTTCAACCCTCCAGTTCAGAAAGCAGAGCTGATTAACCTTCAGCTGTTGTCTACTAACGTTTACTTCTGTACGTCAACTCATCCTCAGCTGCTGAGAGATGAGTAATTTTGAATAGTGCAGAGCCCCCATCCTATATAAACTCTACCATTGAAAACTCTGCCAAACATCAACTTGGGCACTTCTGCTTACAGAGGGCCTTTTATTAGCCTAAACTTGATCGTTCCAAATGGACAATAAATTCTATCTTCACAGCCCTGGAGAAAAGAGTTATGCTATCCTTGGGAGTTTAATAGCCAGGATTTTCATAGAGCTAGCATAAAAAAACCTTGGGGGTTTTATTTGGGTTTGGGGTTTGTTGGGTTTTTTCCCCTATTTTCTGCTCTCTCAGCAGGGCTGTCCCAAGGATTTTTTTCAACCTAGTTTTAAATATCTAAAGTGATGAGACTTTGTGCACCCTTAGAATTTTATTATACTTATGGTCAGAAGAAAACATAAACCTCTTGGGCCTTGAAAGCGCATTGCAATACAGCCATTATCCTTATAATGTCAACAGAGCTACAAAATTCTCCTAAATAAACCTTTTCAGAACAGCTTTCCCTGCCTCATGTTTTCTTTTAAGGTCAGTGGTGCATCACTTTTAGGAAAACATTTCCCCTCTCTGCCCAGATTTAGCAATCTGCAATAGAATGTATATTACTAAATGAATAGGTTTAATTTTAGGTGCTGAAAAAATAAATAGAAGAAGAGGGCTAGGGCAGGAATAATACCTTTCAGTTAGAAACAGACATAGTGGAAAGAAAAAGTCAGAACTTTAGTGCCAGGGGCAAAGGGGTGAAAGGCTGGCTAATATGAACCATATCCAACATCTGCCCTATTTTAATTTAGCAGGGATAAAGTTTCTTCTTTTTTATTATTAAGAAAACTTTATGTGGCAGCAAAACCCATGAGCTATGTTATCAAAACTGGTTTATTGTCACACTGAAACTTAGAACTATTAAGAATTGGTGGGGCAAAGAGATAAAAACTCCCCTTCTCTCTCCTTTTATACTCTGTGACAAGCCTGGGCTCAGGTCCTGCTGTCTGGGATGTCCTTTTCATGTCTTTATGAAGTACTGCGCTTGGGGCTGTAATATAAAGGCGAGGTTAATTGTTCAGGATGGGTCCAAATGATTGATTCCTCAGGTTTTAAAAAGAAACCAAAAAAAAAAATCTGAAGATTTAAACCAAAATCCTGCTGCAGAAACATTTGCGGTAGTCACCCTTGGAGATGGGTGATGGTGGTGGTATACAACAAGTGTAAAGAAGGGCTGGACTGGGGCGCTCTATGAGAAACAGCCCAAATTACCAGGCTGGAACGTGATCTCTCTTCATTTAAAAGTTTTCCATCTCGATAGTGCAAATTCTACTATAAAAAAACAGCTGAAGTATACTAAACCACATGTGAGTAGCTGTAGGAATAAGAGAGCAAATTGGTTTCTGACAAAAGAAGGATGAATACCTTTGGATAATCTCAAGTTAGAATTTGATTGAAAGCATAACATTCCTTTAAGCATCAATATGCTTAGGATCCAAAAAATGGTTATTTTATTACCAGTTAATACTTAGATCAAAGCAAAACGCTGTAGCTGGAAGGGACGTTCTCTCTGGAAATAAAGTTCCATGTAATTATTTCCTATTAAAAACTAAACCTGGTCTTATATTCAGAAAACTAGGCTTCCTTACATGTGATATAATGCAAGCTTGTCAAGAGAGAGCAGACGTGCCATTTTTTACTGTTCACTGGTATCCCTTGGCTTTAAAGTTTTCAGTTTAGCTTTAACCCTTTGAATGGGAAAAAAATCTCATCCAATTTGCCTCAGCCAAACACAGGGATTGTTTTGGATAATACTGGCTAATTTCTGATATACAGAAATTAGCATTTACTAGAAACTAACACCATTTTAAAAAAAAGTCTCCAAGTGCAAGGAGGTAAAACACAAAGGAAATGATACGGCGATTGATAGGCAGTTGAAACTTAAACATCAAATTGTAAACAAGGGGTTTACTCTTGGGTAAAACAGCTCATCTCAATTCAATTCGGGACACGGAGTTTAAAATATTCACTCAAAATATATCCAAGAAAGCTGCAACCTTTCAGAGGAGAGAGATAAGAATATATTTTAATTATAAGGTTATAAATATGCGATCTATTTATTATTTCTTGTTACCATCCCCGAACACGGTACATAACATTGTTCATACGCAGTTATATCTCTGCCTGTGTCTATTCCTGTCCAGGGCTTTGGGTTTATATTCTTTTCTCTTCCCTGATAGTTCAATCTCTATTTATGTCATGTCTGAGGCAGGCCCTGGAAAAAAAAGAATCTATCTTTCTGTATTTATAAACTGCTGCAGAATAAATAGGGAATGGTTCTTTTTTACAACTGATGGGCTAGTATTATAAGTAGCAATATGAAATATTTAGACACATTATTTCAAGCTTTCCGGCTGCTTCTGATTCTGCTAATTACTTTTGATCTGTCACTCAGAAATAATAAAAAACCCCACCACTTTAAAGAGTTCATTAGGACTGCAGAAAGGAAGAAGAGTCAGATATAAGGCAGCAATTATAATTTGGTTTTAACATATTTTTCCCTTTCTGCTGACTCCTCAGCTATATTGTTTAGCAGACGGATGGCTACAGTATAATTCTATATTAAAACCTTGTTAAATAGGAAAGGAGCTGAGACATTCAGCTGGGATATTGTTTGCTAGCTCAATGAGTATCTGAAGAATTTGAAAGTGCAATAAATGTATCTGAAGATCATATTTAAACATACTTACCAAAAAGTACCCACCTCTCTCAGGAGTTCGCATATTTCTGCCTTCTAACTGGGAGAAGGGAAAAAGAACAACAGAAAAAAAAGGCAGTTTGGATGTATAGGTTAAGATTGGCGTATGGCAAGGCTTGTGTGAAATACAAAGAAATCAGTGTTTTACTCAACAATTTCATTCCTAAAACACATAGTTTAGAAGCATCTTTTCTTTAAACATGCAGTTCAATAACATTTTCTTCAAAGGAACAATTCTGCGTTTTAAAAGATTTAAGGACAAAGAATGTGCTGCAAAATGCAAATCCTTACAGTGTTAATACTGTGTATGCAATTATGTATGTAGGCAGATAGATATAATTTGAGAGTTATTAACTTTCAACATCCGTGATGTACCCTGAATCAATACAATATAACTACCTATTAAAACATAAACCAAATGTGTTACCAGGCAAATACACTCCGAGAAGCTTTTCTACATTATTTTTTCCTCTTTAAAGATTACAGCTCTACCATGGGCAAGAAGCTCAAGAGATTGCTGCTGGTCCTAAAGATGGAGGTTGCTCTGTTTTCTGCAATAGCTGACGTTTCTAGAATGTTTTATTTCCTCTAAGTTTGGCAAGAAAAATAATTATTTGAAAATACAATAAAATAACTGTGAAATGGTATAAAGGGAATGAATTGTCTCACAAATCCCGTGTGTTTATCAACCTCCCAGCGCATAGGAAAGAGGAAAGTTCCCTTTCCATTTTTCCTTTGGCTCAAAAGAGGGGAATTAAGGGAGCACAAATCAGTTTAAGCCTTTCCCCACCACCACCCCAAGTCGAATCGATCCCTCTTGCAACCCCTTTATCCTGCCCTCCCTCCCCCCAACGCATCTCCCGGCGCCGTTCACCTTGGGCCAGCGCCGGGCAGGGAAGGGTTAATGCAGCCAAGCTCTTTGCGACCTCCAGGGTCAGACTCTTCCTATCTGCAATCTAAGGAATTAGGTAAGGAGGTTATAAGATTATAGTGAAAGGAGTTATAGGCCCTCGTAGCCTCACACCTGAACATATTGGGCTAATCCACTGGGATTCTTAAAAATCGCTTCAGCTATGGAAAACTGTTAATTAGCCTGAGTCTATCCCGAGGTTTCCTGTTGCATTGGTGATCCAGCCGAGCTGCCTGCACTCTATAGGTTCACATGAAATGCTCTTAATATGCCTGTTTTATTTTTTTCCCTCCTTTCTCCACCACTAAACCCAGCATTATTTCGAGGCGGGGGGGGAGGTGAAAGGCAAAATTTGGGGTGAAATTCAACCCAAGAGATGCACAAAAGTCATTTTTCCCCTCCGGTCCCTGAGCCCTGGGTGCCCGGCAAGGCTATTTGCAGCTGTTTCTAACTTCAGTGTTTGTTTACAGTAGCAAAATTAGCACTTAGAGGAGAAGTGAAAAGCTGTTTTCACATCAGTTGTACTCCTCGGTTCCTAGCTTTAGATGCCTTCCCTCTCTCCCAGCCATCAGCATCACTTAAAAGTGCAGCTCAAACTTTCCCTTTCCCTCTTTTGACTTAGTTCTCTGCAGCCGCATCCTATTTTCTGCTAAAGAAAAGCACTCAGAGAGAAGGTAGCGTTTGAGCACGGCCCAAACATCAGTGATTAGAGGAAAAACAATAAATAATAATAATAAGCCCGAGCATCTCTTAAAGAACATGTTTTAACGTCGCTTGGCAAAGCCCTGCCCTGCTCCCAGCTTTCTGCCCTTTGGCACTGAGACATTTGCTTGTCTCCAGCAAAGTTTTCTTTAATCCGCCGAGACAGCCCAGGGCTGTACCTGAGCCACGGCTGAATTGCTCCTTACGACCGATGAAATCCTGCAGCAGCAACTCCCCAACTCCAATACTTAAAGCACGGGTTGGTTTTAGCCTTTTTTTTTTTTTTTTTTTTTTTTGTCATTTGCGGAAACGCTGATTATATTTTTTTTTTATGCCATTTGTGGTCACCCTCGAATGGCAGTAATCTGTAGATTACATATTACGAGCCTTGTCATTACGTGGATAAAATGAGGTGGTTAAACGCTAAAATCCATTTTACTCACCACATTTGCTTGGGGAGAGTGTTAAGGGGGGGGGGGAACAAACTTGTAGGAGAAGGATTTAAAGCCCTCGCACCTGAGGTGGATGTGCCCTCTCTTCTGCTGCTTAGAGACCTCCCTGCCTGGTGGGCACCGAGCTGAAGACCCCCCGAACTTCACTTCGAAGCCCGTGTGCTCCAGCCCTCGCCTTCCCCTGGAGCCTTTTGTCCCCATTTTCGTGGTGTCTCAGCATTGCTCCACAGAACCGACTTTGCTGTGCCTCCCCTGGGTTTGCTCTGTAGCATTTCTAGGCTCCTACTCGCCAGCTCTCCCCCCGTTTGCCTCTTTCATGTGTGTCCCTGATCCCTCTCCAGCTGATGTGGTTCTCTAGAAATGTGGGTCTTATCCCGTCACTACCTTTGCCGGGACTGATTAGATATTATTTTTTCATTGGCTCTGCTACAATGGGTTCCTCCCTTTAATCTCTCGATATATTT